TCTCCAGGGAAGGCAGGGCCCGTGGCCTGTCCCCCCAGGACCGGCTGCACAGCCCAGCCAGGGGCTTCCTTCCTTCCTCTGGACAGCACCCAGCCTTTCCTGCGGCCAGGAGCCAGAAGCATCTGGCGTCAGCACTGGCCAGCCACGGGGACGGCCACAGCCGAGGCCCCGGCCAGGGGTCCCAGTCCAGGCTTGGGGCTGCCCACAACCAGCCTCTTGGCCGACCAGAACAGAGTCGCCTGCACTGGGCTGCGGGACACACAGAGATCCCAAGCTGCCCACCCATCCGAAGGCCCCAGGAGGCCTAGCCTGAGAGCCTGGCTCTGGGAGGAGGTGGCAGAGGCCAAGGACAGGGTCAGAGGCCAGCCCGCGGCCTCCCCTGCGGCTGCCACCGCTGTTTCCCAGATGTCTGCCTCACTGCAGGGCTGCCCCCCGCCTCGTGCCTCTGGGGTTCCGGGGCCCCTCCAGGCCAGGCCAGTCCCTGCGGCCCGGGAGCAGCCCCAGGCCTGCTCGGTTCTCTTGGTCCCTGCAACCCACTCTCCTGTGGCCTCCAGGGAGCCCCAAAACACACACGAGCAGTCCAGGAAGTGCAGCTCCTCAGAACACAGTGTTCCGCCCCTGCCCTGCCACCCGCCCCAGCCAAAGGCCCAAATCCCAGGGGAGCGGAAGTTGGCGCTGCCGTGGGCGCAGAGGCGGAGAACTGGCCGGGCTCCAAGCCTTCCCAGAGCCGCTGGGGAGGGCTCAGCCAGCACACAGACCTCCCCCCACTGAGAGGAGAAAGATCTGGCCCACGTCACAGACAGAAGCCAAGGTCAAAAGACAGTTCTTGCCCGGGGTCCCTCAGGGGGCCTGGCACTGGGCTCCTGAACTTGGGCCTGCCAAGCTCAGGGGACTCCGCCCCTACCCAGAGCACCCGCTGGCAGCCCGAGGCGGCTCGGCTCACCCCATCCTGTCCCCGCAGGGGCTGCGGCCGGGGCAGGCAGACCCCTGGTGACCCAGGCCTCGCCACGCACAGTGGCATCAGGGGAGTCCTGCACTGGGCCGGAGTCTGACTCCGGCCTCCTGTGGCCCCGGACAAGGCTCAGTGGCTTCTTAGAAGGCGCAGGGGTCAGACAGGCCAGAGGCCCAAGAGGCCAAGGGGGCTGAACCCCTCTGGTCAGACGCCAGCCTCTGTTCCCAAAGGGGTCAGGCAGTCTAAGCAGAACCGTCTCCGAGCCGGCCCTGCCTGCCGCCTAGCACGAGGCACCCTGTTCCAAGCCCCCAGCGCCAGAGCGAGCTCCCAGGCCAGGGCCGAGCCTCCACTCCTGCCTCCCGGCCCCTCCTCCGAGACCCAGCCTTTCCCAGGAGAGGGCAGAGCTGGCAGGACACGTCAGGCGGGGGGAGGCGGGGCCGCACAGCTGGCCACAGCACGCTGTCCGCCCGAGGCGGGGCCAGGCGCGTGTGGGGGCTCCCATGGGAGGGGCGGAGAGTCACTTACCTGTGCTTTTCTAGCTCGTTATGTGAAGACCTGTTCAGAGAGACAGAAAGACAGAGCTCACTCCGCTGCCCGACCACCGGGCACAAAGAACGATGCTCGGCCCAGGAGGCCGCGCTAGGCGGGCCTGGGCCCCAGGGTGGATGCCAAGGGCCGGGCAGGTGTGCAGCCGGCAACTAGGGCTGGGGGACCACATGCTGGGCTGCACGGACTGGCCCGAGGCACCGCAGGCCACCAGCCCATGCAGGGAGGCCCGGGCAGCACCGGGCCCTTGTCTCGAAGGGTGGGGGAGGCCCAGGGAGAGCGGCTGCCCAGCTCCTCGGCGGCCTGCCCCTCTCCACTCGCCACACCCCGAGGCCAGCTGCGTCCCTGCAGCCAACACGGGCCAGCTGAGAAGCCCGACAACGGGCTCGCTGAGGCCAGGCCCTCAGGAGCCAGGGGTCCTGCCCGGATGCCACCACACCCCCTGGCTGCCACCGTACAGACGGGGACACCCAGGGACGCGACCGTCTCGGCCAGCTCAACCCACCAGGGCACAGATGCTTCCTGGGGTAGCGGGTACAGGGCACGCGGAGACCCCTCGGCGGCTGTGTGGGAGCAGGACCGGCCGCCTGTGAGGCAACGGCCGCCCACCGTCCGCCTGGCCGGCCCCCCGGGGGAAGCGCCCTCAGGGAGCCTGCACAAAAGGACAATGAAGCAGGGGAACCAAGCTCCCAGCTCCACGTCACCCTCCAGTCTAGGGGCCCCGGGCGGGATCTGCCCTCCGGGCCTGCCAGGCTGTTGCACACGCGAGCAGAAGGCTCAGGCCACCTCGGAACACGACCACAGCAAGCCTTGAACCCTGCCCGCAACCCCTGCTCCTTCCAGAAGCTTCTGCAGGCCACTGCCCACCCGGCCCCACTCTCCCTCGCCCACCCCAACGCCTGCCACAGCCACCCCGGGGGGCACCCTGCAGCCCCAGGGGACCTGCAGACCAGGTTCCACGGTCCTCCCGGGCTCGCTGGCCATGTGGGCTGGGCCAGGAGGGGCACAGCCGTCGCTCTTCACTGACCTGCCTGGGGCTGCCCTTACCCAAGCTGCAGCCTGGCCCCATGGGTCTGCTCGTCTGGGGCTTGGGCGCTGCGCAGCGGCCACACTTCTGCTCACTTCCTCCTGGCACGCTGGCTCCAGCCCCTCCTGCTGACCCCCAGTGCAGCCCACAGTGTCCCCGCCACTGCCCTCCTGCCCACCGCCCACTCTCCCCACTTTGGCAGGGCACAGAAGGCTCGCAGGTGTGGGGCTGTCCTGCCGCGCCAGGGTCCCCAAGGACGGGGCCCCCACAGTCCCTGACCAGGAGAGCTGCATGGGGTTGCACCCTGGCCAGGGCCCCCAGGTCTCTGTCCCGGCGGAACGCGGTCGGCCAGGACCCCACTCGGCAGGTGGCCGAGCCACGGCAGGCAAGTAACAACTTCACTATGCCTGTATGCTCAGCCACGAAACGGACACGAAAATCACCTTGACGTGTGCCTGTGTGCGTGGGTGCGACATGTGACATGAGGGGCCCTCCAGGAGCCTGGGGTTCCATCCCAGAGTTTGCCATGAGAGGCAGGGACTGGGGTCGGCTCACCGAGGCCAGAAGCAGCGACGTCCCCTCCACCCAAAACACACCCATGTCCTTCCCCAAACTGTCCCCAGCAGGGGGCGAGGGGCTGGGACTCAGAGATGGTTCCCAGCCAGGGCAGCTGGGGACGCAACCAGTTCCCTGCCAGGCCCAGAACGCCACAGAGATGGGTCCCTGTGCCAGCCGCTCTGTTTCCCAAGAACAGGCAGCCACAGAAATGAGCCGCACCCTCCACCGAGGGGCCCTGAAGCCCCCAGCGAGCTCTGCTCCAGCCTGGGGTCCTGAGAGCAGCTGGGCCAAGGTGGGCCCCTGCACAGGGCCAGGTGCGCCACGGTGTCCCCACAGCAGCCCCACGAGGGGATTCCCGGGGGAGGCCCAGGCCGGGGCAGCCCACTCCCCACCCAAGGGTGTGCACGGCCCCCAGCTCCAGTTTCTGCAGACTTAGTCCATGGCCAGGGCTCCGGGGGACTACAGGGCGCCAGGGGGGCCGCTTTCCCGACCTGGCCCCTCCCCCACCCCAACCAGGTCCCCCTGTCCCTAAGGAGGGGCCCTAGCACCTGTGGCTGGAGCCGAACTGCCTCAGGAGGCTGAGCTGGGCTGCTGGGTGCCCTGGGGACAGGTGGGCTCCCAGCGCAGGGCCTTCCCACAGCGCCTTTGTCCAAGCCCCCGGGGATGGGGGTGCCCAGTCCAGCAGCTGAGCGAGGCGGCCCACTCTCCTGCGGGAAGCAGGGGTCCAGGCCAGCAGCCCCACGGGACCCTAGGCTGTGCCTCGGTTTCCCCGGACCCACGAGGGGCACCAGCCAGAGCCTACTGACAACTTTTTCCCCGCCTGGAAAAGTCCAGAACAACTTGGGGGCGGGGAGCGGCTGCGGGAGGAGACCCCGGCGGCCAGGCTGTACGCGTGGCACTGTTTACGAGAGAGGCCGAGGAGGCGCGGCCGCGGGAAGATGGCGACGGCGCGGGCGGGGCCGGCCGGGCGGGGCTGCGGCCGCGGCCCGGCGCGCCTCCTCCTCCAGGCTGGCCGCCGGGGCGCGCGGCGGCGGCCGGGGCTGCGGGGCGTTAATCTGGGCCCGGGGCGGACACTCCCGGAGAGGGGCAGCGCGGGGGTCCGGGGCGCCGGGCCGGGCGGGGGGCGGTACCTGTTGTTCGGGGCCTTGCGCACCAGGCCCGCCGCCTTTGTTTTCTTCCTGGCGAAGTCGCCGTCGAAGGGCAGCACCGAGGCGTAGCCGTGCTCGGCCTCTGCGGACAGACGGCTCGGTCAGCGGGCCCCCGCCCCGCGCCAGGGCCCGCCGCCCGCCCACCCGCAGCCGGGCGCACAAAGGGGGCGCGCGGGGCGCTACCTCGGTCCCTGCGCTCCAGGTACTCGGCCGCCTCCAGCAGGATCAGCAGGGAATTCAGCTCCATCCTCCTGCCCGGGCCTGCCCGCGCGATTCGGGACGGCGGCGGCCGCTGCCCGGCCCGCTCCGGCCGGCTCCGCTCGCCGCCCGCCCCGCGCGCCCGGCGGCACCACTTCCCCGACTCCGGTGGACTCGCTGAGCGCTCGGCCGCCACCCTCCGCCTCGGGCCCTCAAATTGACACATAAGGGCGAGCGGCGGCCGGCGCGGCCAATGGGAGCTGGCGCCCCGGCTCCGGAGGCGGGCGCCGCGCCGGGCCGGGGCCAATGGGGACGGGCCGAGCGCCTCGGGCCGGACCGAGAATGTTGACAGATGCGAAGCGCGGCTCCGATAGGCCCGCCGCGGTAGTAACAATTTAGAAGCCCAAGCTTAGCAACAGCACGTGGTGGCCCAGCCCCCGCGCTCGCTGACTGGCGGCCGCCGTGCATGTTAAGTAGGCGCTGCGCGCCGATTGGGCCAGAGCGGCCTATGTAAAATAGGGACGGCGGACCAATGGCCAGCGGCGGGGCGCGCGGCCAATGAGGACGCCGCGGCCCGACGCGTTGCCGAGAGGAAGCGGAGCGCGCCGCGGCCCGTTAGGACCGGGAGCCCTCGAGGGGCGAGGGGCGAGGGGCCGCGGCGCGCCCCGGGCTGCGCGCGGGAGCCTGTTGTCCACGACCGGCTTCCACCGCTGGCTCCGCTGGAGGAGGGGGCCCCGCGGTCCGCTCCGGGGCCGGCAAACGAAGCCCCACCCGCGGGACCCGGGATGGCGTCGGGAAAGGCTGGGACGCACACGGTCGGGACTGAGAGCCAGGCCTCCCGAGGGTGTCCATGGGGGAGCCGAGGCCCGGAGCGGGAGGGGCCCCTCAGCGCTCCGCGTGGACACCACGGGTGGAGGGGGAGCAAGAACCGCCGTCCCCGTCGGGAGGGGTCCGCAAGAGTTCCGTGTCCGGTATGAGGGTGGGCGCCCCCCCAGTGGCAGGCGCGGTGCCCCCTGGCCGAGGAGAGGTCGCCCAGGGGCCCCCTGGTTCCGAGACTGGCCCAACAGGTGCAAGAATTGGCAGGTGCAGACTGGTGCGGCCCCTCGCGTGCCCCTGGAAACCCCCTCTCACGGGCTTCAGAAGTTGCTGGCTTGGGAGGCGCTGGAGAGGTTTGTGGGATGAGGCGGCTGGACCCTCCCCATGGAAGTTCCAGGTTGGGGCGGGGGATGCTGCCAGAAAAACAAGCTGTCCGGACCTCGGCGCCGCGGGCTCCCGGGGGCGGCGCGCACGCCCTGTTTGCAGCCCCTCGCGTCTCTGCCCAGTGACTGGCAAGGAAACAGACCCCTGGGTTAGAGACGCTCATGGTCCCCAAATCCCCGCAGAGCGCGTCGTGACCCAGGGCTGGTCACACAGCTCAGGGGCACCTGTGCGCGGTGAGCCACGGCTGTCACTCTGCGCCGGCTCCGCAGGGCCGCGGCCTGAGCCCGATGCTGCCCCGGGGCAGCCTGGACCAGGGCCAGCAGGCACCGGGCGCTGCGGCGCCTCCGCGTCAGTCTGCAGGGCTGTGCGGAGCCGCGCGTGGTCAAGGAGGGTACCCAGTCCTGGGGGTCCATCCTGGCCGCTCCCCACTTGCGGTCAACACTGGGGGAGGTTTGGGCCCCCTGGTGGGTTCTGCTCAGAGCAGACGCGCCGGAGTCCGGAGTCCACCGAGTGAGTGAGCTCAGGGCTGCGTGGGCCTGGGGGGGGGGGGGGCGGGGAGACCCGGAAGCGGCAGGTGGCGGAGGGCGTCGGGGTTGGGAGCGGGGATCTCTAACCTGCTCCGCGGGGCCCAGGCGCCGTCGCCGGGGAGGACCGGGTGGCGTGCCCCTCGATCCCGGCCCCTGCCCCAGAACGGGGTTCCAGACCCGCCCGGTGGAAACCAGCGAACCTGGAGTCCCTTCTGCACCCCGCCTGCCTGGACCAGGCCGCAGACCCCCTCAGCCTCCCCTCTGGGTCCTCACTGCTTTGTGCGAGCCCAGGCCTACCTGCCCCCATAGAGGCTTGAACCCAGAAAGGGCCACCTCCGTTTGGGCGGAAGGGCTTCGGGGTCCCTCTCCCCACCCCCTCCCTGGCCTCGGCTTCCATGGCTCCTCCATCTGAGGGATCCCACCCCCAGACCCCGTGGGACCCTGGGGACAGAACCCTCTAGAACATTGCCTGGCCCTCCCCGCCCGGTGCCCTTTCTCTGAACCCAGGATCAACCTCCTACACACACAGACTTCTCAGGGTGACTGGGGGCTCAGCACGGCCCCTGGAGCACCCCCGCCCCCGCAGAGCCTCCGCCCCAAGGTTCCTGGAGCACCCGGCCCTACCCCACCCCCTCTGCTCTCTTTGGCCGCCGCAGTCACTGGGGTAACCGTGCTCCAGCCCCTTGGCCAGGAGGCTGCTCTGCCCAGCCCACCTGGTCAGAAGCTTCCCACACCTGCAGCCCTGCCTCTGCGCAGGCCTGGGGAGCCTGGTCAGACAGCTCCTGAGACGGTCACCAGGTGTGACGAGCCCCGCCCCCCAGCTGGGCTCCCTGCACTGGGAGGCCTGGCTGTGAGCTGGCACCCGGCATGCCTGGGGGGCCTGTCACTGGCCTCTTCCCCAGAGATACCCTGGATTCGGATACGGCCCTGAGACCGTCACTCAGCCCAGCCTTGGTTTCTTTCCCTGTAAGATGGGAGCGACAGTACCTGCCTCTTGGGGGCTAGGAGGTGGCAGGGACAGAGGGGACGGCGCTTCTGCCCTTGGCCCTGCCCACAGGCAGCTGGGCCTGTGGGAGGCCAGGCCTGCAGGACCACAAGCTCAGGGACAGCCCGGGCTGGGGCCATGGCCACCCGGCTGGCCAGTGCAGGCCCCGGGCCAGGCCTCTGAGCACCTGGGGGCCTTCCCGAAAGCTGACACTCGGGGAGACGCTGTCTTCAAGATGCAGGCGAAGGTCTGATCAAACGTCCGTGTGCCCTAACCTTGCGCCCGCGTGGCGGACAGCTGCCGGGGAGGCGGTGTGCTCGCTGCGCAGGCTTTCCCCACGGCGCTGGTGAGCCCGGACAACCGGGACAGCTGTAAACTCGGATCTCTCGTAGCAGAAACGTCCAAAAGCAACAGTAAGACTTCAGACATTTTTATGGGGGTGGGGTGGGCTGAGCCGCACGCTGCGGAGTGCGTAGAGGCACTGAGGTGGGGGGCCTGGGACGGGGCAGGCACAGGGCCTAGCCTGTCATGCTGTGGCCCCAGCCCCATGGCTACGCTGGCTGGCTCTTCTCAGAGGCCTGGGGGAGGGAAGCCTGGGATGGGGGGCATGATGGGGTCTCTGCTGTGTGTGGGGTGGGGGTGGGGGCATCCAGCTGGGGCAGGACAGCCCCTTCCCCAGCCTCCCCAGCCATTTAGAGCAGCTTGCCTCGCCTTTGGTCACTGCTGTGCCAGCTGTGGGCCTCTGAGGACCCCTCACCCATTTGCAGGACCCTGCAGACGAGAGCCTGGACACCAAGTCTGGCTGCACAAGCTGGGGGGGCTGTCCTGACTTGGGGTGCATGACCACAGCCGGCCGCCCCTGCCAGTTCCGGCTCCTCCTTGAGCCAGACAGCAGAGAGGAGGCAGTGGGGTCGGCTGCCCCCTTGTGGCCAGTAAGAGCTGCAACCATGACCCTGGAGGAGCCCAGGAAGGAAGGGGTCCCTGCCTCACTTGTGTCTGCCACTTGGGTCATATGGCCTCTGTTCCCAGCCTCCCTGACCCCGGCCTAGCCTGGGCATCCACATGGCTAGCAGGAGAGTGAGGTGAGAGGCCTTACTGCCTCCCAGCCAGGACTGGGCTGGCCTGGGATTCCCGAAGACAGGCCAGCTGTACGGGTGAGCCACTAGGGGCAGGCAGCAGGGCAGCTCCAGAGGCCGGAGTGCTGGGGCCACGGCTGTGGGCTGAGCTGTCTGCACTGAGGGCGGGTGAGACTGCCTGGGACTCCTCTCTCCCCACCCTGGTGCCACCTCCCCAAGGTTGGCCATGGTGACCTTTGTGCCCCAGGCTTCCAGGCCTTGACCTGCTGGCCTGCCTGTGGGCTGCTGCAGGCTGCATGCGCCTGGGAAGGGCCCAGCCTGGCCTACGACCCCTGCCTGTTGCTGGAAGCTGGGCTGGGCTGTGGGGGTGCTGCCAGCCCTCTTCCCAGCTTAGAGAAGCCCCCTGGCCCCCTGCCGCGAGTGGTCCCAGGCACAGGCAGCCAGGGCCAGCGCTTCCTGGCTCCTAACCCCCAGCACCAGCTCTGCCACTTCCTGAGAACCAGACTCCTCACTGTCCTGCCGCCTTGCGAGGCTGGCGAGCAGCAGAGGGGAGAGCAGGTACGAAGTCCGGGATGTGGCAGCGGGAAGGACCATGGGACGGTGACGATGGGCACGCGGAGGCACGGGGAGCTGACCTCACCGAGCTCAAGGCTGGCTCCCCAGGGCTCACGCCAACCCCGTAGCTCGTGGCACGTCCCAACCTTTCCCAGGTCCCCACCCCACCCTTCCAGCGCTTCCTTAGCTGCACTAACCTTGGGCCAGTCCCCCGCCCCTGCCAGATCCGGGCTCTGCCCTTGGGGTGGGTGTCGTCTGCAGGAAGGGATGACCCACCCCACGCTGAGTGAGGTACAGCAACTTCCCGGTCCAGGGAGCCCCTCCCCCGCAGACAGGGAGGGGGCTCCTCAGGGAGGGGCTGCCCTGCTCCCCATCCCCCACTGCACGCAGGCAGGCGAGGCTGGCCCGGAGGCCTCCGGGACCTGCCTGCCTCCCACCCCTGCCTGTAGGTGCCTGACAGACGGGCCTGGCGCTGTAGCTGCAGGAGGGCTCCCTGCAAGGCTGACTCCCTGGTCAGTGGCAGCAGGGCCGGCTCCCCCGGCCCCCGCCGGGCAGCTGCCCAGGAGCCCATGTGGCGAGGATGGGGGCCACCTCTGTGCTCTGCCCGCTAGGCAGGGAGATAGGCAGCCACTGAGGCCCCCTGGGCACCCCTACTCTTTTTTTTTGCTGCCAAAGACAGCCCCGCATTCTGGAACTTTCTCTCCAGCGAGTGGCTACAGGGACTGCCCCATCCACTCACAGCCCTGCCCTCCATGGGCCTGGGCTCGAAAGGCCCCACAGCCCCTGCGTTCTCCCTGCTGGGCCCCCAAAGGCAGCCCGAGACCAAGGCCACCAGGGGACGGGCCCCAAGGAGGGGTGGCCAAGAGCACAGGCCAGCGGCTCAGCAGCAAGTCCTGCCTCGGCTGTCCCACCTCCTGGCTGAGTGCGCTCGGCCCGGACGCAGCCGCCTCGCCGCTGGAGCCCCGGCAGCCGGGGGTCGGCGCTCGCACAGAAACCAGAGCGCCTGCAATCCTTAAATAGATTTATGGAAATGGTTTTGAATTACAGCATTTAGAAAATAAAAATAATAATCTCAATATATCATCTTCCCTCCGTGATACACTTTTCCCTTACAGAAGCCGTTTTGTGCCTGTGGGCTCCACTGTGAAACAGTAATTGGGTTTTATCCTATAAAAGAAGCAGTAGGTGTGTCATCTCCCTAAAAATAAAACTGCAATCGTCATTGCAATGTGAAGCCTGAGATTTAAGCCTGAGGAGGTGTCCGTGCTGGGCTCTCTCAGCCCGGGGCCTGTCCGCCCTGGGGCTGGGGAAGCGGGCCAGGGTCCCAGGGGCTGCACAGGGGCTGGGCTGCCCGGCGAGCCTCCCTGCCTGTGGTGGCAGTGCCGGGCCAGGTCCCGTCCCCCCGCAGGTGGACAATGGTGGGCAGGCGCCAGGGTGCAGCCACGCCCCTCCCCCTCTGAGAAATGATATGAGTGTTTTGTAGCGGGGTCCTGAGAAGGGGCGGCAGCGGCAGACGCCGGGGAACCGGGTGGGCAGGGGGTGTCCCCTCCTCTGCCAGAGGAGGCCGGCGGAGTGGCCGCTGTGTGGGCCGCGTCCAGCCCGGGCCCAGCTCCCGCAGCCCAGACCTAGCCCTGCCCCGCCAGCAGCCCGGGGCCCCCGTCAAGCAAAGCTGACCTCCTGCTGGCCCCCCGCGGCTGGCCTGGGGTCCCTGAGGGTGGGGAGGCCAGGGACGGAGGGGCGGGCTTTCTGGAAGTCTGGGGTCCTGCGGCAGCGGCAGCTTGATGAGAGGCAGCGAGGCGGGCGCTCCCGGCCGGCGCGGTCAGACGCCCGCCTTGTCGCTGTAGAAGGGCGTGACGTGAAACATGTAGCAGTGTGTGCACACGCGCACGGGCTTCACCTGCCCGTAGCGGGGCAGCGGCGCCGAGTGCGAGGAGCAGCGGGAGCAGAAGATCTAGGAGCAGAAGGAATGGGCTTGGCGGGCGGGGCCTGCACAGCTCCCACCCGGGCCCGCCCCTTCCCAGACTCCTCCCACCCTGGCAGGAGCTGTTGGGCTAAGGAGCTGGGACCCTCAGAAAACCCTGGGCAGGGCTCTCTGGAGGGTTCCAGGCCCGCACCACGGCCACTGCAGGCTCCTGTTCAGAGCCAAGGTCCCCCCACCCCCACCCCCACCCCGGCTCTGATTGGCCAGGGCTGGGCACGCACGCTTCGTGGGCTGAGCCCCTGGAGTCGCGGCAGGGCCTCTGCACAAAGACCCCAAAGGCCCCATCAACCACGCAGGGCAGCGTGGGTCCTGACTTCCAGACACACAGGTGGTCCCCCTGCGGCCCCGCCCACCTCCCCGCACCTGCGGCAGTGCCCACCCTGCGGCCCCGCCCACCTCCCCGCACCTGCGGCAGTGCCCACCCTGCGGCCCCGCCCACCTCCCCCCGCCCACCTCCCCGCACCTGCGGCAGTGCCCGCCCTGCGGCCCCGCCCACCTCCCCGCACCTGCGGCAGTGCCCGCCCTGCGGCCCCGCCCACCTCCCCGCACCTGCGGCAGTGCCCGCCCTGCGGCCCCGCCCACCTCCCCCCCCGCACCTGCGGCAGTGCCCACCCTGCGGCCCCGCCCACCTCCCCCCCCGCACCTGCGGCAGTGCCCACCCTGCGGCCCCGCCCACCTCCCCCCCCCGCACCTGCGGCAGTGCCCACCCTGCGGCCCCGCCCACCTCCCCGCACCTGCGGCAGTGCCCACCCTGCGGCCCCGCCCACCTCCCTGCACCTGCGGCAGTGCCCACCCTGCGGCCCCGCCCACCTCCCCGCACCTGCGGCAGTGCCCACCCTGCGGCCCCGCCTACCTTCCCGCACCTGCGGCAGTGCCCACCCTGCGGCCCCGCCCACCTCCCCGCACCTGCGGCAGTGCCCACCCTGCGGCCCCGCCTACCTTCCCGCAGCTGCGGCAGTGGTGTTTCCTGCGGATGACAGTGAAGGGCGCTTTGCACGCGGTGCAGAAGCCGCAGGCCTCGTCGGGCACCCACTCCGGGGGATCTGTCACGAGAGCGGGGGGCACGTCACCACGTGGGCAGGCGGCAGGGGTGGAGGCCTGGGTGTGTGTGCAGCTGCCTCCCACCTGCCCCCTCCCTGCCCCCCACCCCAACTTCTGCTCTGACCTGGCTGTGATTCAGGAAACCCTGTGCAGGCGACCCAAGTGCCTGGCTGCAGCCCACGCCTCACCCCAGGCCAGGCCACCAGGGCCGACGGTGTGTGTGACAGGAGCACCTGCTGGACGACCACACCCTGGCCCCAGCCCTCTCCTGCCCAGATTCTGCCTGCAGCTCTGGCCCAGGTGCTCTCCTGCACCGTGCACCTCGGCCAGGCCTCCTGCCCACCATGGACTACAGGGCCCTCCCGACAAATGGGCCCCGAGTCCCCACCCGGCCACCAGGCTCCTGCCCACCATGGGCTACAGGGCCCTCCCGACAGATGGGCCCCGAGTCCCCACCCGGCCACCAGGCTCCTGCCCACCATGGGCTACAGGGCCCTCCTGACAGATGGGCCCCGAGTCCCCACCCGGCCACCAGGCTCCTGCCCACCATGGGCTACAGGGCCCTCCTGACAGATGGGCCCCGAGTCCCCACCCGGCCACCAGGCTGCCTGGCAGAGGCTCCCACACGAACGGCCCTTGGCGCCCGTGACTCCTGCGGTCAAGGGAGGGTCTGGGTCCCCAGGAGTAGCAGGTGAACTGCTGGGTGTCAGGTGTGGGCCCTTTCCCCAGGACCCTGAGCCACAACCAGGCCTCAGCCCTGCACCCTGCACTTCCTGCCCACCAGGCTGAGACACGGAGGACCGGGCCCGCGGGAGGGCCGCGAGGCGGCAGGGCAGGGAGGGCCCTGTTGCCCACCGGGAAGCCAGGAGGCAAGCAGGTGGGAGGCTGCTCCCAGGGCAGCTGCGCACCCTGGTGGCCTGCGGAGAGTCTCGGTGGAGGAGAGCTGCCTTCCCAAGCCTGTGTCTGGGCCAGAGGTGAAGCGTCCAGTGCAGGCCCCGTCACTCTCCGCCCCGCAGGCGGCCCAGAGCTTCCCACACACCTTCAAAGTCCCCATCACAGGTCTTGGCTGCGAGCTCGGAGGACGACAGGGTCTCCTGGCACAGGGCGCAGTCCTCCAAGGCGGCACTCCGCAGCGTCTGGGTGACTAGGAGAGAGAGAGCTGCTGTGTGGTGCACACTCATGCACCGTCCCCCGCCCGGTGGGCACAGCTGGTGCAGCCCACAGGGGGTCGGCTCCCCCAAACCCAGTGACCACGGCAGGTGGAGGACGTCACCGGAGCAGGCAGGGTCTTTCAGCCTGATGGCTCCTTCTCTGTGGGGACCCTGGAGTGTGCAGCTGCCCCTCTTCATGGGCATCCCGCCCGGGTCCTGCATCTGTGGCCCCCAGGCGGGCGAGGCCCGAGGGGCCCACAACCCTGTCCACAGTCAGCCCACACTGCCGCCTTTTGGAAGCAGGGTCTCCAGAGTGCCGCCCTGCCCTGACTCCCCGGCAGGATGTGGGCGTGCAGCACACCCTAGGGCAGAGCTGGTCAGCACAGGCTCCTCCCACGGGCAAGGACCCTGCCGGCCAGGGCTCCGGGGAGGGCAGCGGCCTGTGTGCCCAGATCCCCGGCAGCAGAAGCCCCCAGAACAGACCCTCAGCCCAGCACGAGGGGCAGCCAGCAGGGGTGGCGCCCACTTCTGCCTTCGGACTCTGCAGGAACCAAGGGCTGAACTCTTTGCGCCTAATCCGTCCCTGCCGCGATGCCTCCCCCCATACACGCCACGTCATGTGCGGGCCCAAGTGCATGTGCACCTTCACGTGTGCTTGTGTGAACATGTGTGTGCCTACATGTGTGCCTGCATGTGTGAGAGAGCACGTGTGGACCTGCCGTGTGCTGAGTGTGAGGCAAATTATAGCGGGCAGCAGACTTCTTGCCATTTCTCATTTTCTTGAATGTGGGTGGCTCTGAGGTGGGGGGACCCCATTATGTCTGGGTCTGGGTGTGGGTGGCTCTGAGGTGGGGGGACCCCGTTATGTCTGGGTCTGGGTGTGGGTGGCTCTGAGGTGGGGGGACCCCGTTATGTCTGGGTCTGGGTGTGGGTGGCTCTGAGGTGGGGGGACCCCATTATGTCTGGGTCTGGGTGTGGCTGACTCTGGAGGGGAGGGGCCCCCGCCATGTCTGGTCCCATCTGTAAGAGGACAGACACATCTCCCTACACACTGTCGGCAGCAAGTTAATACCTGACTGCGGCAGGGCCAGGGAGGACGGGAGCCAGGTGCCGCAGGCTTGAGCCTGTGGGGGGTTGTGGTCCATGTGCAGAGCTGGGGTGGGGCTGCTTCTCTGGGCCGCATCCCCCCGGCACAGCCTGGCTGTGCTGTGTCCCTGGGCTCCACCAGCAGGTGGCCAGGCACGTGTGGGGTGGGGCAGGTCACACGAGTCTCCGGGTGCACAGTCGCCCCCCAAGGGCAGCCAGCAGGGTCTCAGAGCCTGTCCTGAGGGGACCCCAACTCTCCGGAAGGGACACTGACCCTTCTTTAACTTCTCCTTGTCGTCGGCTTCAGGCTTGGTGGCCATGACCTCAAACAGCGTCTTGAGGATGCTTCTCAGGTCACTTGCGTAGTTTGTCTGCAGCTGGTCAGCCACCCCTGGGGGTCAGGACCACGACAGAGGGACAGAAAGACAGAGGGGAGGCTGGGTCGGGCTGGCCAGAGTCCAGGACCAGTGACCAGCGCGGCCCCGATCCCTCCAGCCCTTGGGGGCGACTCCTCCAGCAGGAGCAGAAACCCCCGAGTCACAGGACGGCAGGCGAGGCACGAGAACTGTCAGGGCCACGCGGCAGCGCTGCTGTTCACGTTCGTGCGCTTCGTCCACAGGTCAGCAGCCCTGGCCACTCGCCCAGGGACACACGGAGCCCCATGCTATGCCCACCGTCAGGGCGCCTGCAAAGCTCCCACCCTGGCACCGCACAAAAACACCCCAAAGAAAACTTGCCCCGGAGACTGCAAATACGGAATA